AAATTAGATATCAGCAGTTTCAGGAGGAAGGCGAGGAATAGTGGGAGAAAGCTGGGGAGACCCATGGGCCCTCAAAAACAAAATCAATTCTAAGAAGTATAAAATATAATTAATTATGAAAATTAAAAATTCGTTATATTGTAAAATTAAGTAAGTGTATGTTGACAATAAAAAATTTAGTAGATGGTATTTCTTAAAAAACAATATATTTAACCTAATTTATGATTCACCAGTAAGGTGAATGACAGGTAAGCCTAAACTAACATTGTAGTACAAAAGAATATCACTAAACATGAATTAAAACTTACAAGAAGCAGGTACAACTCTAACCAAACATAAGTTATTGAAATCATATAACTACAAATAATAATATTAATATCAAAATATTCAAAAAGCTATAATAATTTAACAGCTTATCTGTCCAAAGTCAGCAGACCCAAATGTGTGGGCCACCATACCCAAGGCCTGATGAAGATCAACTTGTATTATGCTCAATCTCCAAAAGTATTCAAGTTGACAATTCCTCAGTTGAGTACCGCCACTGAATCCTAAGTAATTGTGCTGGAAGTAAATGATAACATTTTCAAAGTGGAAACATAAGCTTTGGTGAAAAAAAAAAAGAACAATATAGGTAATGTATCACTTAAAACAGGTAAAGTGAAGTAGAAAAAAATAGAAAATATCTCCACTTCATGTGAAATTGCACAAAAAATGCGAGAAGAGAGCACCAAAAAAAGTCTGCCAAATGAGAAGTGTTAGTTTGGTAGAATTGAATAGAGGGAGTCACGCGTGTCGCACTCGTATTGGTGGAGGGTTGTTGCATAATGATTTGCATGCGAGATGCAGTTGAACCACATTGATCTTGAGGTACGTGGGAGCTCAAGGTTAGTAGCATGCAAACATATTTTGCATATAGATGGCCGCACTGAACAAGAATAGCTATTTATGTGAGAGGAGGTAATGTAGCATATCGGAAACATGGTTAAAGGAAGATAACTGTGTCATGCCGACACAGGCAGTTGTTAGAGTCAAATCACATGGTGGTCTTCCAATATATCATAAGCTGACACAGCAAGACAGGGAACAGTTACAGTAGATGTTGAAAAGAGTGGAAAGTTTGGTGGGGCAACTCAAGAAGTCTATGGAAAGAGCTAATGATATCTTTGACATTCATTGTATGCTTGTCAAAGAGGCACAGATACACTTCAGTGGAAAGGATGTGTTTTCCTCTTGCCGTGAGAGGAGGTAAGTACCTTTCAGAAATACATTTTCAGTATTGGAAAATTATAACATTCAGAACTTCCACTGATTTTTCAAAATGAGTATCAAACACTGATTTGCCATCCTGCATTTCTGTGTGAATAAATCAGGATCTGAATTCCATGATAATCCAATAAAAGGATAGCCAGATGTAGCAAAGTGTTGTGATAGCAGGTACAGCAACAACTAGTCTCCCCTTTTTTCAATTTTTTCAATTGAACATTATGTAGTCTCAACACTGCAATATATTGCTCAAAGTGCTTTTTGCCATTGATTCTGAAAGCCTATCACAATCTTAGCATAGCATGAGCATAAAGTACAAAGGTTTTTTTTTTCAGTTGGGAAAGTGGGGACTGAGTAAACTTTAATTTTCAGTTTGTTATTTCAACAGGTCACTCTCATGACTGCTCAACCTTTAGCATGATCAAAAACTGTTGGGTTGGCAGTTACCTAAAGTTGATATGTAAAATGTTAATTTTTCCCTTACAAAACTGTTTGCAAATACAATTATAAAGCATTTAGTACTGTAAGAATAAAAATTAGACCACTTAATCCTATTGCCATGAGTATCTTTTACTGTGCATGAAACAAGGTTTTTGGTGTCTTACATTCAAAATTTTATTAA